TTTTATTCTTTTTCTTTTTATCTTTTCTTTCTCTTCCTTTTTTTTTTCTTTCCTTCTTCCTCTAGCTAGTCACTAGGCCTGGCGACCGGCTAGAAGCAAGGATCGGCGAGGTCGACTAGCAAGGACGAGCCTTGCCCGCCCATGATGAGGCTCGACCTCATCGTCACTAGGCGAGAGCGAGCTTGCCCTACCACTGGCGAGGCTAACCTCACCCAACGATGGCAAGATCGAGGCTCACCCTCACCGGTCACTGGCGAGGTCGTCAATGAATTAATCAAAAGCACAAAAAAAAATTTCCCAACCTTTCCAACAGTATCTGTGATGCAATCAATGCAGGGCTCGGGAAATGCAGTCATGTTGTCCCAATGAGTTTATCGCTCACAGGCACCTAAAACAAATCAACAATCGGAAATGATTTCAGAAAATGCCAGGAATGATCGCATCAACTGCATTTCACTCACACAGCATCTCCAAGATGCAGATACGAGAACGAAGATGGTGGATTAGGGTTTCTATGAGTGAGATGAAATCACTCATGGGCTCGTCGGGGACGATGTGCTTGCCGACGGGGAGGCGCATGCCGGAGCGGAGGTGGTGAGAGGAAGAGACAGAGCACGCGACGACGCCATTGCCACCCATGATCCTCAAAGCTATGTGGCTCAATCTCACAGCCACTTTCTTGCACTTTCTCTCACTTTCTCAACCTCGCTAGTGGCTAAGCGAATCTCGCCCTCGCCAGCTAGAGGAAGAAAGAAAGGAAAAAAAAAATAGAAAGAGAATGAAAGAAAGAAAATAAAAGAAAAAAATATTATTAAAAATTGTCAATGTCAGCGCCAGCTGGCCCACGTAGGTCTATGTCAACGATTTTAGGCCAAACTTGGCCGGATAGACTGAATTAGCACAACGCAAAAGGTTTAGAACTCAATTGGCAAAAAAAAAATTTAGACTAAATTGGCACAATTGTAATACGTTTCAAACTTTTTTGGTAATTCTTCTTTTATTTATCTCTATTGAATTAGTTGTGTTAGATTGAGAATTCAGCGATGCGGTTAATAACAAATAATCGAAAGTACGATGCTATACTCATGTTAGAAAACTAAACCTTAGTAGAAATTTAGTATTATCATAAGAAAGTTCTCCACAGCATGTTTCCAATCAAATTGAAAGTGCTATAGTTGATGAAATCGTCCGACATGGTCGTCCTCTATGACGACCATTGCCGTGTTCAGTTAATGACCGTAACTAGCTTACTGTAACCTATAAAAATTGCTGTAATAATACTTAACAGAAAATATGACCTCAATAGATTTTTCTCATCATGCAATCCTTACAATTGAAGAGTTCAGATATAAACAAATGTAGCTACCAAGATCGAAGCAAACCCTACTCGCGGAGCTATTGGACTAATTAAACTTCTAAAATACTGCAGGTTAAAAGTACAAAAAAAAAATACATCGAAGAATACAAGTTGCCTTTGCTGTCTTTCTATTGGGCTTTCAGGCCTTAAGTGGGCCCGGCCGTCTCCTTAATTGGGTCGTCTAATTTCGGAAAATCGTGAATATTCTTTGGGCCTAGGCCCTAAGCTTTCTTGATTCAACCTCTAACAAAGTCAATATGACCAATCAAAACATTGCGCTCCATTCATATTCGATATGTACGGGTACGCTATTGCCCCAGTGGTGGACCATACAAAATCCAATATTATAATGCTATTAAATTTTTCCTAGAGGATACAGTTTAGATCCGCGTGTTTATAAAAATGATACCTACCTTAAAATTTGTTCGAAAATCTAGCATACGAAGTAAATTTCTCGGTCTAATGAGTTCGACCAACAACAAGGAGCAAAATGTTTGATGCGCGTCTAGTATTATGAACAAGAGAAATTAGACCTATCTTACATCAACTTAAGCACACAAAAGTTAGGATTGATTCATGAAGCCCAGGACCACGGAACTATTAGAACTAGATTATGGAAAGAAAATGAAATGAAAGTGATTTGGACTTCCAAATCGATCACTGGGAAACCGTCGGTGATTTGCCGACCGCAACTAGTTACAAAGGCCGTTATATAGATATTCTTGTCTAAAAGCCTAAAAGGTCATAAGCAAAACTTTGTGTCTATTGTTGATCGCACAGCATTCATAAACAAAATCGAAAAGGGTCTGAAAAGGTTTGTAGATATTCTTGTCTCGATATATGAATTTTATTATTATGTTGCCCATATGAGCAAAATGATTGTATAAGTTTACATAATTTAATCCCTTCGAGGTTCGCCTTCCAAGAATGGCGTCCATCTGATATTTGGTAGCCACTCCCGCCATTGCGGTTGACTGAAGATTTGCTCATTCAATCATCAACAATTTATACAATATCTTCTCCAACGAATGACTTGTATGCACAATATACAAATTAGCAACATTGTCCTTGTATGTTCGAACAAAAAAACAAAACATTGTCCTTGTATGTCTTGAATGGTATCCATAATCATAATTTTGGGGTTCCGTTTGTTTAGCATAAAATATTTTCCAGAACATTTTTCTCATTTTCAGATATTTGGATCGCTTAGAAAAATGAGTCAACAGAAAACCTTTGCTTAAATTCAGAACAATGAAATCCTCTTTAAAAAATCGAAAAACATTTTTCAAAATATGACTAGTAGCAACACTTGAACCACAAACTCTGTACTTTGGCACAAAAACTTTAATGCTCATTTTCGGGTCCTCAGAGTCCAAGACCGGGTCCCCGGTACCTAGGCCCAGGTCTATCAAGGCCGGCCCCACAACCCTAGTGCTTGTGCACGGGTCCTTGCCACCTGTGCCTGGTTCTATCGAGGCTGGGCCCGGGCCTTAGGTGCCAATGCTCGGTTCCTCGGTGCCCGAGCCTAGGTCCATCAAGGCCAGCCTTGAGGCCCTAGTTTCGGTGCCCGATGCCCCACCTGAGCCCCGATCCACAAAAGTAGAATGCGGGACCCCATTACTTGTGCCCAGATTCCCGACACTAAAACCTTGATCGATAAAAGGCAGTGCCCCAGTGCCCATGCCTGTGCCCAAGTCCATCGAGGCCAAGCCTAGGTCTACAGAGGCTGGGGCTAAGACCCTTGTGCCAGTGCCAGGATCCCCTGTGTCAAGCCTAGGTCCATCGACGTCAAGGCCCAAGACCTCGATGCCAGTACCCGGGTCCCCAACACCTACACCCTGGTCCATCGAGGTCGGGCCTGGACTCGAGCCACCAAGTTCTCACACTTGGCTTTTTGTGGACCCAAGCCTGGGTGTCGAGGATCCAAGCACCGGCACCGAGGCCTCTGCGGAACTAGGCTAAGGCGCCAAGAAGCCTTGCATGGGCATCGGGTTTTTGGTTCCGACTTTTGTGGATGCAGGACCAGTGCCTGTGCTCTTGCTTGGGACCTAGTGCCTGTTCCGGGTCCTTGGCGCCTAGGTCAGGGTCCATCAAGGCTGGACCTAGGATTCTAGTGCCCATGCCTAATTCCCCGAATATTCATGCGCAAGTCACTAGAGCCCAAATAATGCATGTGCATTTAGAAAATCAAATCAGATTTTACTTTCCAAAACGACGGAAATATTTGCCCGTTCTTTTTCAGATTTTAGCCAAGCACCGGAAAATGGTGCCATTTTCCTGGAAAATTACTTCTTGAAAAACATTTTCCAGAAATATAACTTTTTCATGAAATAAACGGAGCCTAGGTTCGCTTGTGCTTATATTATGTTGATACACAGATAACTATAACCTCTACCTCGCCTTTTATAAGTGATTGTCTTTTTTATGTTCGTTTTGATCGGGGACAAACCTTCTTTTCTGTTCAAGTGAGATGATTAGTCAATTTAAGATGGTTTTCCAGGATTGTCGAGCTGCGACGTAATTAAATGAGAGTATTCGCTAATTGATAGTTAAAGAAAAACATAAAATAATATATAATGTACATAAGTCAAAATCCTCAATTGACTCACTTTTTTTCCTTTTTTGCAATATCATGCCCTACAAATCAAAGAATGTGGATCTCAAGTTACCTTCACATGCAACGATTCTACAAATTTGTCATAGTATTAACTGCTCCCACACTCTTCCAAAATCTTTTTTTTTTTTTACAATATCATTTCATGGCATATTCTAAAGTTACGCTTGCTATTTCAATCGTTTTAAGTTTAGCAAAGATTACAATTCAAATCACTTTAAAAAAAGGGTCGGAGTCCAGAGATACACAAATTAGTGGGCTATATAAGTATCGCTTTCTATGTAAGTCTCGTGTGATTAGCATTATTCAATTTGAATATTGAAAACCAAAAAATATCATCCAACGCAATACTGCTAAGCAGTTCTTACATACTTATAGTTTACCACATTCGAGCTATAAATTCGGAAGTTTCCACTTGCCTCCTCCAAGATTAGCCGTTGACCCCGTTGCACTCAAAGCAATAAGATGCAAACTGCTTATTTTGTATTCAGCCTCTTGGCCACGACTTGTCTGTTTGGCCATGGGTGTGCAAACAAGTAGAGAAGTGCCCGACAAGATTGCTAACTATAGGGACTGCAACAACCTTACGTCGAATGGCAAATTTCCGTCTTTTCTTTTCCTTTTCTTTCTTTTATTTTTCTTCTTTTAGGATAAACGCTGAATGACAGAGTGTTTGAGATTGATGGGATCATATCAAGGGGATAATAAGGGCGTCGGTGCACTAGCTTCATCACCTTGCTCGTGGGGAAACTGTTTCTGAGTATAGATACAAATAAAATAAATTATTTTGGATTTAGCATGAAGTTCAGATTCCGATGGAAGTGGACCCAATTAATGCGCCCATGTTCTGAAAACCACCCCGAATATCGACCGAGTAAAGGAAAGGAAGAGAAGAAGATGAATATGGTAAAATAGACATGTTGGCACGGTATGTAGAAAGGACACAACGTATTCAATCACTTATTACAAAACACTGTCGATTGACATCGTACATATTTGCTGATTTGCAGCTGTCATGAAGAAGAAGAAGAGGAGGAGGAGGAGGCGAAGATTCATTGCAGAAAATGCAAAGAAAAGAAAGGGAACAAGACGTTCCATGAGTTCCAACGTCCATACCATCGTCAAATACCTAAGAAAATCCAAGAAGACAATGCACAAACTTGAACTCGCTCCAATGAACACCGATACAGGACGATATAAACAGCTTGCGACGACATACAGAAAATCCTACGACCTCAATAAGTACCTCTTTTTTGCCCTAAAATGGACATGAACCTCTTCTTCACGTTCCCCATCGAATAGCAGCCCCTAAACTTGTTTGAATACTTCCTCCTCTCCCCGAAGCTCAGCGTCGAGTCCGGAGATCCATAGCCATCTTCTTTCTCGTCACCAATGTCTTCATTGTCGTCGTACGACCCATAATGCATAGAAGATCCTGAACAAGAGAAGAACTGGCGATGGATACGGAACCTCGAAGTGGATGGGGAAGAATTATAAGACGACCCCGACGACGACGATGTCGACCCGGAAGAAACCGACGATGACGGCGATGCGCGATGGGATCTTTTCGGGGTGAGCCTTGAGAACACGGCGCTCATGGACACGTTCCGCTTGCGACGACGGCCCTGCGAGGAGGAGCCGGAGCAGGTGAGTGCAGGGGTGGAGCTGGAAGGAGGGGGCGTGAGGGGACGGAGGGAGGTGCCAGAGAAGGCGTGCTTCGGCGTCCCTGGCTGGGACTCCCACGTGAAGGGCACCGAGCGGGCGGCCCCGCCGTAGTAGAGGAGGCGGGAGGAGGTGTTCGTGGCGGAGCTTTCCCTAGACAAGAGCCTGGAGAAGAACTTGCCATCTTGCTTGATTTGGAAGGAGGTCTCTTGATGGTTCCTAGGGTTAGGGCTACGATTCATCGTTTTCTTGTTTTCCTTTTTGAGGGTGAAGAAGAGGCTCTTCTTCTCAGCTCTCTGGGGGTGGCTCTCAGGCTCTCTTGCAAGATCTGAAAGATTCAAGATCCGAAGAAGAAGCTGATCGTGAGAGAGAGAATGGAATAGAATAGGATAAATCTTGATGAGAGCGTGGTCGAGGGTCGTGGGAATTAAGTAATTTGCGCAATAATTTAAGCTGCTTCTCTCCCCTCAAAGGCTAATCTCATTAATCGCATCCCCTTTTTGTGTGGCAATTAAATAAGGCATTTTCATTGACTTTTGTACGTATTCACATGAGATTTTTTTTTCTCAAGTTGGAAAGTGACAAAGTTTAGTGTTGATGCAGTACATCCTTGCTCGATGAATATTTATTTGTGGACCGATTGATTATGTCATCACGAACGGTTAGAAAAAGACTATTTTGTAGTCTTGCTATGTGAATCGAGATATATAGATTGTTGTGGCCATTAGTGCTGAAGAATTCTTATGGAAGGCGAGCATAGAATCTGGACTACTGATGGGAGATGAATGATTGATGTGTAGCATTGAACCGTCGAATTTAATTTTCTAATGGAGGAAGGAAATAAAGCAGATAAATGAGAAGGCTATATATTATCTCTAGGTTGGGGCTACGTATATCTAGCATAATCACAAAAGTATGCAATCTCTCTTGGAAACTTCTACCTATTTAATATGGTAAAGGAAAAGCGATATATACCAAGCTTTAATTTGTCTCGTATTTTGAATTTTTTGATGATGTTATGACAAGGTAATTCCGCTATCGTAGCATGTTCGAGTAAAATTAAGATTCAAAAATAGATGGGTTCAACACTATCATACAAACCCTCCTCGTAATTATGTGGTTGCTCAAAAAAGCAAAATCAAAATTATGCAATAGTCCCATAGTAACTAGATACATTAGTGAACATGAAGGGTTTAATTTTTCCTCCTGATTAATAGAACTCGCGATGCGTACTAATCAACGTGCAGCCTCAAAATAGAATATAAGAAAGTGGGATAGTAGTCCAAATGAGATGAATAAAACTTTGAGAAGAATACTAGTCTTATAAGTTGCAAAATATTTTAAAAGATCGATATCCACTTTTTTTCTCATTTATTTTGATCATTTTATAAAAGAACATTTGTTTTGATTTGATTGAAGTATAGTTTATTCGTGCTATCAGTCTTAACATTTTCCCCTGCCCTTCCGGGTGGATCGACGTGATATGGACGATTACATTGGTCCCATGTCTTCCCCAGTGCATCGTCATCTCTGTCTGTGATGTCCTTTCTCAATGGTTTCCATACTAAGACAACAACTAAAACATCAACCATAAGAGTCCAAAGGAGTCGATACAAGGCTCAAATTTTAAAAATATTTTTTCAAAAATGTTTATTTATATCGCTCAAAAAATTGAATGAACGATTTTCATCGTTTACAAAAAAGTTTGGGTATAAATTATTGTTTGAAATAAAAATATTTTCCGTTGCGTAATTATTTCAAGTGATACGAGCAATCTTTCTTAAGAAAATATTGTCAAAATCATTCATTTTTTGCGAAACAAATGGAGCCTAAATGTGCAAGATTTCCAATTAAAACCAGGAAAAATTAAAATCACTCACTCACCAATAACAAAAAGATTTAACTCTCATGTTTCAAGTTCCACGTTCGACCAATCCTCTCATCTTATTGATAATCACATTCCACAGGGAAATTGTCCAATCAATTATGAACTTTTGTATGTATGCCAATTCAGTTATATAATCTTTTCAGTTTTGCCAATTCGATCCTAAATTTTTGCCCGGAATTCCAATGTAGTCCTGTTCAATTTTCGCCGGAAAATCGCTGGCACACCGGTGTGGCACGTAAGATGGCTAGCAATGACTAGACCGCTAAGTCAGAGATTTCCGGCGGAAATTGACCAAAATGGCTAAATTGAAATTTCGCGCGAAGATTTGGGACTAAATTGAGAAAATTAAAAAGTTTATGATTGAATTGACATCCGTACAATAAGTGTATGGCTGATTGGATAATTTTCTCAACTTTCCACTCACTCACTTTGGCTATTTGGTGGGGAATGAAAAGTTTAGTAACACAAAAATAATTCTAATTAATAATATGATCCCTTCTTTTAAATGTGAGCGTTGATGGAGGAATATCACTAGCAGCTCTCACTTTCCGAGCATTAATGCTGCAATGAGGATCTGCATTCAAGACAAATTCGTGACCCAACTTTTTCGTACACGAAGAATGGTCAATGAAGGGTCCAACTAATCAAATCAAATTGCACCAGTTCCTGGGGGCACAAATTGGTACCATGCGGTGGACCTAAGTTTTAAATGCTTTCTGACTCTTTTACGGCTGAATTATTTGTCCCTTTACTTTATTCCTCTCGCGTTAAATCACGCTAATAGGTTAATGCATGGTAGGTAGCCGCACGATTCTAGATCTCATTGGTGGTTGCATTCAATGCAGCTCCACGCTGAATTTCAGAAACAAAAAGATTGAGAGAGGGTCCTTCATAATTCTCTTCTTTTTTGATAAAACAGTCATTTTCTAGTTATATATATGTGTGTTATATAAATATAGTAGAGTCCCGTTGTTCAGTGTCGAAAAATAAGAAATTCTTTTGCATGATGATAAGTTCTCTGAGTTTTTTTTATAAGTGTCACGAAACTATTGACAAGAAAAGATGAACCCTCGCTTTTTTTTCAATTAATTTGTCGGTAACTTACCAATATTTTTACGAAATTATCATCTCTTTTTTTATAGCTCATAAATTGCCAACTTCCCAACTAAATTACCAACTTTTATCTGCGTAACTCAGCCAGCAAATTAAATCCCCGCCAAACAGGGTATATGATACTTAATTACCCATATAAGTTAATCACAATGTCTGTATTTGATCAGTAAGGTATTCCAATCAAAAGCTCAAAGTCATCAAATGATTCATTAGGATTGATTTTAGACTAAACATGATCATCGAACTCATCAAACACTTCCAAGATGCCTAACACGTTACTAAATGAAGATATAAGCAAAGTATGATAAATCATTTGGTGTTCAAGTCCTCGAGCATCGCAATACAGTCTACTCTAAAGTCTAAATCATTAATTAAAGCATGCACGTAAAGTACGTACGTTTCAATAATGCTTTAGCCAGGATATAAGCCAAGGCGTTGATTAAAGTCGTGGAGAGTGTTGAGCATTTAATGTTTGAGTAGGAAGCAATTTAGTGGCCGGGTCTGAGTGCGGATTAGACGGGGCAACATGACTGCAAATCACGTGCGAGCTCCTCAAATCTCGATATCTACTTCCCGTTAACTTAATTAATCACAATTATGGTACCTGATCCCATATTTACTTGCGCACGCTTGTACTTCCACAATTGTAAAAGCATTCCCGAGGAAAAATAATATTAGGAATGATGGGGAAGGCTCATCTATCTTTCTGCCCCGCTACTATTTGTTATGATCCCACGTAAGGGTGAGCAGTGGTTTAGGGTATATCCTGAGACTGGACCGGATCCAATTTTGGTTAGGCACGTGGTTCCAAATTTTTGGAACCGACTATCACCAGTCTAGTTCCCGATTCCGGGTGCAGAACTGGTGTTGACACATAAATTTTGGCGTATTATTTAGTCGTAATTTGTATAGAAAATTAGGGATTAATTTTTAACCCCTAAACAAAAATATTTAGGTTGCATAACATATAGTTTAAATTCATTTTAGATTAATTGCATTTTGCATCGGACCGGCAGTGACGAACGAGCTTAAATTTCATCGAATGGGACTCGGCTCGCTTGGAATGCAAGGTCCGGGAATTACAAGTCAAACGGGCTCGGTTGTTTTAATTTGAGTTTAATTCAGCCCATTATCCTTAATTAATTCAGCCCATTTAAATTAACTTAAAATCTAAGCCCAAGCCTAAGCCCATTAGGACTAGAGAGCCCATCTAATTGACCTAGATTAGTGTTATATATACATCATTAGGTCAGGATTTTAGGGAGGACACACAATTTCGGACACAGTTTTTCAGATCAGAATTTTCAGAGAGAAAAAGTGAGAGAAGAAAAAAAAAGAAGAAGAAGAAGAGAGAGAGAGCGCCGCTCCCCGCGCGGCCGCACGTCGTTGCCGGAGCCCCGCCGCACCATCTCACCGCGCCGCCGCTGCCTCGTGATTCTGTTCCCTGCGCGCCGCGCACGCCCGACGCGCATCATCTCCGTCTGCTGCGTCAACCGCCGCCGCTTGCCCCTGCTCACAGCCATACTTCTGGCTGTGAATCACTTCTGCCCCGAAGTCAACACTGCCATGCCCACGTTGACCACTCCAACGTCGGTCCACGGAAGTCTCACGTAGAATTCACGTCTACAAATTGGGGAGAAGGAGGAGAGTTGCACAGGGACTCTCTAAAGACAATGAGAATATACAAAAGAAGCAATGTGGCGGTATAGTCTTGAAGAGCAAACAGGAAGTGAAGATTGAGTAAAGCAAGTGAAGAGCAAACAAGACATTGTCTAAGATTCATCTTCTTGTTCTGCGACGTGGGGACACCAACATTGACGATGCTCCCTGCGGTAAACGAGTCTTGATCAGTGGAGGTTCTTTCACTCCTCCGGTGCTCATTCTTCACGTGTTCCGAGACTTTGCTGCGACGATCCCCACACGCAAGCCACCGAACACCCCCACCGAACTGAAAGTCCACACGATCCAGCAAGTTCGTGAACTGTACCACCGTGCCGGACGCCACCGTGAGCTGCCGCGCCGACGCCGCATCGCCCGTCGTCCGAGTCCGATCCCGATCCACAATTCGAATTTGGGAATTATCTGCAAATTAGGTAATTCAACATTATCCGATATTTTCAAAATATTTAATTTCCTAATATGGGTGTTTGAATATTTCGTGAATATCATGTGGATATTTAGATATCTTAGGATAATGTTCGATATATCCGCAATATTTTTAAATATTCAAAATTAGGAAAACTTCCTAATTTAGCAACGTATCTGGACGACTATCCGACCTTATCCCTAAGGTTCGATACGCGGCGATACGGAAAATTATTATCCTATCCATAACCACTTGGGTACGATAATGATTTTTATCCGCTTTCTAAATTTGAATAATCGGCTTTCCGTCGATATCTATAACCCTATAGATATGACCGATAGTTTGATTTTTGTGCCTAATCCGAGTTTGAAACAA